ACGGTTCCATTGTAGCCACACGGCTAGTTGAGAACTATAAGACGGTAAAATTTTCGTGATTTTAGACCTCTCCAAACCTGAGGGAATCACCAAGAAGTCTACAGCAGAAAAACGACCACATCCGACCACGAATTGGCAAATTCCCCTAAAAAAATCATTCCGTGTACGTCAAGCGCTATTTTGGTTCTTGCAAACGGTTATCCGGTGCTGACCTGACCTATAATTTTTATCAAAAGGAGCAACATATAGCATACTGAGGTAATCTGAAGGAGCAATATTAAACATTATGGTTGGACTGATAAAGCGTGTTGTTCTTACATGAATAAGGTGTTTAATTTAACTTTAGCAATTATTGTTGATTCTCACTATTATTTATTGAATGCATTTTATTCCGATATTGCTATTCGGCTACTGTTCAGGAGGAGGTGCCATGGCTCTCTACTAACTTACTTTTATGGGGGTTATATTGAGTTGTTAGGCTAGAAAATGAGGTACTACATGATGTTTTTGTCAAGAAACACAACTCATGACTAAGTACTGCGGTATTTTTCGCAAAATGCAGCCGCAAGTATCTTCAACATCACCGAACAATGGGGAATTAGTCAAAGAACGCTGTAACATTCAGCAACTAGAAGGTATGCAACTTCGAAAATTACCAGGTAGCCTCTTTTTACTTATTTTAGGATGGAAACTATCCTTGTACGAAAAACGCCATTTGTGCATCTTCAAATAGTCTTTGAAATTGTTTTGCATGTACAGAAGATACGACCAGACATTTTAGTTTAATTTTTAAGAGTGGATAACGTTCATACTTCCCATTTATCGTCTGCGAACATAGATTTTTAGCTTTTGTAAATATTTTGTTATTATCACCACTTTTCCACCTTTAGAAGTGCCACAGATACTTGCGATATAACCTTGTGATGTTAGTGATCATGTCTTACAGCTATGTGCCGACGACGACAGCAGATTTTTAGGTCTGCCTGCAAACAAAACGTAGTTGCTGAATTTACATTCGAATGATAGATGCGTAGCTTCGATTGAGTAAAATGTAACTCCTTTTATGGTTTCTGAGATGAGATTTGTAAACATTAGGTCTTGGAAGAATGCCTCTTCCTTAATGCAAATTTCTACTTATTTAACAGTACAGCCTGCTCCCAATTCAAGTAATAGAACTATGGCCTCTCAAGGAAACCGATTCCAATGTCCTATTTCCGTTCGACAGAATTCGCTGACCGCAATGGCCGCTTCGGCCAAAGTGGATGAAGTTTTGGCAATGCAGGTAATCACTTTACTTCTAAGCCGCTTAATCGTAAGGATCGGATGGGCAAAACTTGTTCAAATTCCTCATTCCTAACAAACATGTGGCATCGCTGCAGCCGAGTTCCCAGTTGGACAGTATTTTGTAAAAAATACTTCTTTCTTTACGATAGAAATCTCAGGTGATGAAGAGTTCCTCGCCTGCAGGAACACAAAGGGGACAAACTCAGGACACTACAGTAGCCCAAGCTTATCAAAGTAAAGTGACTCAAAATGCCCAACTATTGCGCACCTCGTCCGTAGCGTTGGAACGTACCGTCCAGAATGATCGTAACCAACTTAAGAATCCCATCTCTGAGTCGCAAAATGCTCAAACCAAACCGATGCCGGTGTTTGTTCGCACCCTGCAAGTCAACTACTGTTTAGTAATCAGAGACAAAGTGCAATTTTCCTTGGCTTTGGCATCCTCAAACTTGATACAGTAGTTAAATCATTTTGCCAAAACAAAATCGGAATTTCCATTTTCATCATTCTAGTCTTTTGGGTTACTTGTGCTAATATTCGCTAAGAATTTTAAGCATTAACAGGACAAGAATCGCCTAATTCCTAATTTTGAATTTGATTATTCTATGTCAATTCTCCTTTTGCATGATGTATTGCAAATCCAACAACCATTGGTATTGAATAAATCTGTTGATTTGGTTTGTCAAAATAAAAATGGCACAGTCCTTAAGTCATACACACCATCCAAAATCAGTTGCATTAAAGGTGAAACATTTAAGTGAGCAGACACTGGCATGTGCATTCTAAAGTGCACCAAAAACTTGTTTCACTTCTTTTACCAGGTCGATCAGTTATGCATTTTGAATGATGATTATAAGTAAGTGTGGATAATTCAATTTAAATTAAAAGTGTGATGGGGGGTCAGCTTCATTCTATGGGAGAAAGCACCAATTATAAAAATAACACCTTATGTAAGCCACGTAGTGAGTAAACTCATCGACTGTAATGGATGAGGCTAAATAACCTTTTGCATGGATGGAAAGCATACGCTCATCTTTTAATCGCTGTGGTTGCCTTTTTCCGTCACAAGGAATCAGCCAACCACGGATATAGCTTCAGTGGCTGGCAACTTTGCGCCAGTCCAATCGCGGCCACAGCGTCCACTGTTCTCCAATGGGGGAGCTTTTGTGCCTCACCTCACTCCCCTCTACCCCATACACACCCTCTCCTCTGTTGCATGCGTTTCAAACCTGGCAGTCCAGCAGCAACAGCAACAGCAACAAACGGGTAGCTCATCCCCTCAATTCGCAGTCCGTTCCGCCGTTGTTTGCGGGAATTGCCAATTCGTTCCACAGTATGTGACAATTGGTCCGAATCAGGTCAGCCACCACCTTAGTTGACATGGCTCCTAAATTTCTTCTAGCTAAACCATAGCCATTAGTGAAGCAGAGTTTAGAGGATTGTTTGTTTAAAAGAAGTAGGAGTGCGTAAAACTTGGAGCTATCTTAAATGCATAGAAAAGTAACCATGGAAATGCTTTAGGACATTCCTATAGATCTTTCAATCAAAGTATCGCCGGAAAAAGGGCAGCGTACAACATCGGAGATGCAAGAAGTCTACAAGCCATCGGATCATCGAACTACAGGACTCAATGGCTACGAGGAAGGTTAGTGAAAATACTAGTTAATTGAAGTTTTATTGATACATTTTGTATTGTTATAGTGTTGTACACTGGAAACAGTAAAGTCAAAGAACAGGAGCTTGTAGTTTTAATGGACATTTCGAACAAAAATAGTACTTTACCATGTTTATTTATGGACACTAAATATTATGCACTTGTGACGAGTTTCTGCTTCGGTCTATGGGTCAACGTAGACCAACGCCGATTTTGATCCGAGAGGAGAAAATGCTTGGCAAACTAACGATTGAACTAAACCCTCTTTAGCTGCAATTTTGTTGCTGTTATTATTTAGCGAAAAAAAAGGTGTTAATGATTTGCTTACTTTTAATAATCCTCCCTACATAATGCGCCCCAAAAATTTGGAAGTTATTGCGGTTGCATTACCGTCTCCCCCTATTCATAATGTTTATCTCCATCGAAAAACACTATGATTGGCTATTCCACTAAGCATTTCAGCAAAACTTTAACTCTGTAGCATTATTAAATTAACGGCTTTCATTCACACCCAGTTTTGTTCTGTAATCATTGTCAGTTGATAGTGTGCGGAGATCTATAAATGATTGCCGCCAACTACCGAAGCACCACAAATTTTTCACCAGACTTTACAATGAAGCATGCGTAATGCCTCCTCCATTCAGCACTGATCTCGCACCTCGTATCCACTATGAGCGTTGATGATTTTTGTAGTGGCAATGTAAAGGCGTGCAACAATCAAACGTGTCCTTTAAGCGCATGAGTTACCACGCGACAATATTGGACAAATGCGTGTAGTTTTAAACGAAACGGCTAAACTGTTACGCATGAAATATGGTTACTTAATTAAAATGATAATTAGTTCGCCATTATTCCATTTTCCTTTGAAAAGCACTAATGTGGCCAGCTATATGCCTTGGTCAGGTGACTGAGCAAATAAAACACCTTTATTTCCTTCGAACATTTTAGGAGTTGCGATAAATTTGGCAAAACCAAAACGGTCTAAAACAAGTGAAACTGCTCTGGAACCCTCATCATCAGAGGGAAATCGATCTGTAGAGCTCGGAACCAACACTGAATCCCGATGGAAGTGCTTCCTCTGTAATCTGGATTTTGAGATGGAGTGGTGGTTGCAGAAGCACTACCGAGGCCACAAGCATGTTTGCAAACTTCTTGAGAGTGTTGGGGGCTCCGAAACTCTACAGAAACGAATAAAATGCCGTGAAATAAACTCAGAGACGCTGGTGAATGAAAAAACCGGGAAACTTTTGCTTCATGTCATCAACCGTTTGATTAGCTTTAACAATAACAACTCCAATCGAGTGGCTCATGGATGACGAAACTCGTTTGGTATATTTGTATTAAAGGATCAAATTTTTTACTCCTTCAGGTTAATTATTGTATACTAAATATACTTTTTTTTATTTTTTACGCATGTTATAAGCCAAAATAGGCTTGATGAATATCTTGACAACTAATAACAAATAAATTCTAAAGATTCGTTTAGAAGTTATTATTCTCAAACTTTTTCTTAAAAAAACAATTTCAGGTTTCTTTGAAGGTGTGAGTTCTTTATGTTACTAAATTTAGTCTCGTAATGTCAAGTCGATGGATTGCAGTGTAACGCCTTGATGAGGCATGGTATTTGAATGGAATGCAAACTTTTGACATGCGGGGACACTAACACAGCTTAGTCGCTAGTCCATCTGCCAGGGCTACGTACAAAAGGACATTTCCTCCAAATATCCCTACCTTTTCGGTTGCAGCATACATTATTACAGATTTCACCTCTCTTGATGCCGCACTACTACGAAATGGAATCACAAATGCAGTTATTTAATAATCTCTACGTTTTAGAACCGTGCTGAACGCATTTCGAAAACTCCTCTTTGGTTGAAGGTAATGATAGCATCAGTAGGATTACTTAGCTATGGTTTGTTGAAGACTATGAACTTTAATGAATGCGACAGTAAAAAAGAATTGCACGACCTCAAAGACTATTGTGAAAAAGTGCTTCCTCTCTATCTCCGCATTTCAATAATAATTCTTTTTTCGGATTCCGCTGCCTACTTTGAAAGTCAGTAGCTTTGGTGCATAAACGGGAAGACA